TTTTGGTTCTTGCACGTTGTGTTTTTGATTATGTTCGATATCAATGGTCAGTTCATACCCATCTGTCCTCTTGTCTGCATACAACAGCGGTACTTGTCCTGGGAGAGGGTACCTTAGTGTTTTGTGCAGGATAGGAACAGCGGTGTCCCCCTTAGAACAGTCACGGCACCCGCTTCCCAAGAACAGCTGCGTAATCCACATCTCGGAACAACACAGGGCCCACTTTCCGGAACAGTAGTTGGATTGGATAGGAACATAAAACTATCAAATTCAGCCCACCGGATACGACTGGGGGCTGAATTTGATAGGTTTATGTTCTATTTATGCTAGAAGCATTCTTTGAAAATTGTATGGCTGAATTTGAGAGCTTTGAGTTATATTTGGACAGGGAACATAACCTCATGATTTCAGCCTTCTATCGTTTCTCTTTCCCGACTTATAAATTTTCCCGCCAAAACTTTCACACTCCCGTACACGGAGCTCAGACGTGCGTGAGGAGTGGTACCGCGGTTTTGGGACGGTACTTGGCCAGGGTATCCACCTAGCAAAATCTTGGCACTGAAACTTGCTTGGTTGCCAAGTTAAAATACCCGGACAGACGACACACACACACATGCATACATCCACACATACGTGTAGTTGTTTGGATACAGTAGCTGCGGAAATGAGTCCTAAAGTGAGCTAAGGCGGTGCGTAGTGATAGAGAAGCTTTGGAGGGACGATTTGTTTGCCGCCGCTATGAATCTATATCCGTAGGAGTTCTCATGAAGCTTCGGAACAGCTTAAATGAAGGGAATAGATGTATCATTGTTGGTAGTGTGAAGTTCAGATTTACTTGGAATTTTATGGTGGTCGGTGACCAGTTGTTACATAAATTATACCAGTCCTTTTGTAATTGAGTATATCGATGATATTTTAATTGTTAACTGCGCCGACTTTGCTGAAATTGCCAGCAACCCCGATGATATTTTAATTGTTCAGCTTACAACTCAACACCACTTACTCCGGGCAACGAGCCTGTTTTTTGGATCTCGAAATTCTATGCCAAGATGGCAGATGCTTTTTTAGCGTATACAACAAGACCCTGGACAACCCATTCAGGGCATCCTGATAATGATATGGACCACATGGTGCAAGGTGTTGTTATACCACAACTACTTCAATATGCGCGCATTTCCACCTTCCCAGAGGGGTTTTTTGACTGGGCTAGACGCGTTATAGATATCTATAGACAAAAAAAGTTTGATATTGCCAAACTAAAACGCTGTGTTCTGAGATTATGCTTCAGGAACCGATCGGCACTGAGTAAATTCATCTACCACGATGTTGTAGGAGTTAAAAGCCTAGTTAGTAAGTTATTTTCATGACCGTTACCTCATAATTTACATGAAATTACTACCCGTCTCATACGTTAGTCTCCTTGTCCATCTGCTCCATTATTTTTATTATTTTCATTCTATTACACTTTCTTCCTCTCTTTCACCTATCCTTCTTGCAAATTAGTCACATGTCTTTTCAATACATGGCGGGTAGGAGGCTTTAGTGACGATTCCCACTCCTACCCGCATGCACTGTTCGGTCTGTGTATACAGCTAAGGGATGAAACACAGACTGCATCGTGAAATGTCTTCTTATACATAACACGTAATTCCAATCTTCTTACTTCATTATTATACACACACAGACAAGGTCGTCGCAATATGCGTTTTTGCAACTTGCACTTAGGCAAAAACGCATAAAAATCCAAGTATGCATATGAACTGAATGTTT